TTGGCACCATTTTCCGGAAAAGGGATGCTAATGAGACAAGTCGGAATTGCAAATGCCGCGGGGGATTTAAATATCCCCCGCGGCATTTGCATGAACATGGCTGCTGCTTTTTTCCGGCTCGGGGCTTTGCCGGAGAAAAGCGCCAGTCTAGAATTGCAAATGCCACGGGGGATTTAAATATCCCCCGCGGCATTTGCATGAACATGGCTGCCGCTTTTTTCGGCTCGGGGCTTTGCCGGAGAAAAGCGCCAGTCTAGACGGGATCTTTCGGAAAATAAAGCCTTTTCCGGAAGAGCCCTTATTCCTGATTTTAAGAGGAATAAGGGATCTCCCGGAAAAGGCTTTATTTTCCGAAAGATCCCGTCTAGACTGGCGCTTTTCTCCGGCAAAGCCCCGAGCCGGAAAAAAGCGGCAGCCATGTTCATGCAAATGCCGCGGGGGATATTTAAATCCCCCGTGGCATTTGCAATTCCGACTTGTCTCATTAGCATCCCTTTTCCGGAAAAGGGTGCCAATGTAGACACAGCCTTAGGGTGGAGATTCCACCACCTCCCTAGGTAACTGATCTCAGTTCTTTACCACCCTCCTAGTAAAATAGTTTTTCCTAATATCCAACCTAGACCTCCCACACTGCAACTTGAGACCACTGCTCCTTGTTCTGTCATCTGTCATCACTGAAAACAGCCTCTCTCCATGCTCATTGGAAGCCCCCTTCAGTCAGTTAAAGGCTGCTATCAAATCCTGCCTCAGTCATCTCTCCTGTAGGCTAAATGAGCCCAAATCTCTCCGGCTTCTCTTCATAAATCATGTGCTCCACCTCCTACTCATTTTTGTTGTCCTCTGCTGGACCTTCTCCAGGGCGTCCACATCCTTTCTGTAATGGGGGGCCCGGAAATGGACACAATACTCCAGATGTGGCCTCACCTGCATTGAATAGAGGGAAACAATCACTTCTGTAGGTCTGCTGGCGATGCTTCTCCAATGCACTCCAATATGCCATTACCTTTCTCGGCTACTAGGGCACACTGTTGACTCATATCCAGCTTCTCACCCACTGTAATCCCCAGGTCTTTTTCTACTGAACTGCTGCTTATCCAGTCAGTCCCCAGTGTGTAACAGTTATTCTGTCCCAAATTCAGGATTCTGCACTTGTTCTTGTTGAATCTCATCAGATTTCTTTGGCCCAATCCTCCAATTTGTCTAGGTCACTTTGGGCCCTATCCCTACCCGCCAACATATTTACCTCTGTCCTTAGCTTAGTGTTATCTGCAAACTTGCCATCAAGCTGGGCTGGGGCTCCCTGGCCACTTCTGTCCCTGCTGCTGCCAGCCAGGTGTGGGTCTTTCTGGGGAGAGGGATCTCCTGCTGCCTCTGGTTGAGCTGTTGCCAGCCCATGTGTGGTTCCCTGGGGCCTGCTGTTACCAGCCCAGTCAGGCCTCCCCTGCTGCCACCAGCACCACCATTGTTGTCCTGGCCAGGGTTCCCCGGAGTTGGGGCTCTTCAGCCACTGCCAGCCCTGCTTCTGCCAGCCCAACTGGGGCTCCCTGGGGCTGGGGCTCCTGATTGCTGCCAGCCTCACTTCTTCTAGACCTGCCGGGGCTTGCCATCCACTTCCAGCCCTGCTGTTGGCTTCCCAGCCACCAACCCCACTTTTGCCGGCCCTGCCAAGGCTCTCCAGCCACCACTGGCCCACTTCTGACAGACCAACCAGGGTTCCCTGGCTGCCAGCAACCCCACTGCTACCAAAATGGCTGGGGC